CAACGCATCTGCAATTGCGGATGTTTATGGGTAGCGGTCGCCATCGGCCAGCGGTTCCACTTCGGTGGATTCAGGTTGCCGCTTATCATAAATGCGAAATTTTAGATGGATGTTTGTTAGAGTTTGTAGCCTAAACTGCTGAACAGATTTCGATTAAAATGACATAGGTGTAAAGGATAGTTTGAAAGACATAAACTACTCACTTTATTTTTTTTAATTGTACACAGACGGAGTCGCGGGCGAAAACTTACACTTTTATAATTTGTATATACCTTAAAACCAAGGCGTATAACATTCTTGAAGTTTTGTAAATGTTCTATATTTGCAGCTGATACATTAACGCGTTAAACAAACATCATAATCTTAATTAGCAACGCGACAGACGAAGAAAACTTATTTGTACAAGAAAATTATGATTAGAGCTTTAAATTTTAATTAATTTGCCTACAGTATGGTTTCATCTAATATTACAAAAGTTAAAACTCTGTGAACTTACGTAACATAGAAATATCTGATAGCACCATTGAAAACTTCCTTCACACAATGTAATGTAATTAAATTTGCAATATTATATCTATTTTATCATAGTTAAATTAATTAATTAAAACTTAGATATCCGAAGGTAATTTCTGTAACCGTTTTCGTTGTAAAAGCACCTGGACTAAAACGATTTCAACAGATTTCATCCACGGTTAAAAATAACCGAAATCGATATCTTCATAAAAAACTGTCGGGTTTACATATGTGGGATTGTTGCATAATAAAGTGTATTTTTCAGTGCAATCTTTTAAATTAAATTTTCCGAAAACCATCGTGACGTCTTTACTTTATACTTCTCTTTCCGAAATGACATCCGACATACTGACTAGGGTTGCAACAGAGGCCATAACGGAAGCGGATGCGGAGATGGAGGCGAAGGGCTTCACCTCGGCAGAAGCGAAGGTTAACGGAAGCGGAGGTTAATAATAAAATGTTAATTGCGATTTATTAAAGAAAACTAAAACTACGTTAAAACAAAATACAGATTGGTACATAATTACAAAATACAGTTTACTATGCCAATTTCATTTATAACAATTATAGTTAGTTGACATATCACGCCCGCGCAGGCCGCATAAACGATAGCTAATCGGCCCACTCGCGTTAAAGACTTAAATTAACCTCCGTTATAACTCCGCATAAGAAATAACGTAAGCGGAGGCGGATGCGGAGTTATCATTACTTACAGAAGTTCCGCACTTGCGGATGCGGAAGCGGAGTTCCGTTACAACCCTAATACTGACATATCACAGTAATAAAAAGTAAAACTTACATCATCCCACATATATCTACTATTGTGCTATTGAAAAACACTGTTAAAACAGGCATATAAATCATTCAAACGAAACGCTTTAAAAGTCGAACACCGTCAGCAAAGGTCACTGTACTTCAGTTAACCATGTTTACGTATTCCCGAAAGAAATATCGCCTCCGATTCTTTGAAATAAACACAAAAAAACCTCAAACTTTTCCTCTCGGATAACATTAAATGAATCATTAAACCGATAAGCGTTGAAAGATCAAAAGCCTACGGCGATTTCCTCGTTTAAAAACCATAAAACGTTAACTGTGGACTTGTTAAAAGACGTGCTCTCGACAAACAGAATCCATACTAATATCCTGTTACAGAATATTAATTAACTACCCACGAAAATGTTTTCAATTTAAGAAGTTTTTGATTATATTTACCTTGTACAGTCAATGAACTTCGCGGTGTGCTACTTTACTATTGGCTCGCTCGTTCACAATCTTTAGAACATCGTTACTTCGTTTCGATTACAAAGAGAATTACACATAAACATTTTCTATATTATTCAGATATTTCAATGGAAAAAAAATCAAAACAGTTCCGTGATAAAAATGATCATACTAATATTATAAATGCGAAAGTTTGAATGGATGGATAGATGGATGTTTGTTAAAGTTTGTAGCCTAAACGGCTGAACAGATTTCGATGAAATTTTACATTGTTGTAGAATATAGTCTGGAAAAACACATGAACTACTCGCTTTTCTTTTTTTTTCAATTCCTCGCGGATAGAGTCGCGGGCGAATGCTAGGATTAATATAATTACGATATTGGTATCGGTATTATGGGTTACAGATGAACTATTTTCGCTAATTCTTTGCTATTTGTTATTATCAGAAAATTCAGAATTAAATTTGGTACAGATATAACCTATAATTTTTTGTCTTTTAAATTCTGAGCAAACGAAGTCGCGAAAATAAATTCGTATATATATCAAACGGTCTTCATGAATATAGGAATTGATACGAAATAGGGAATTCTTTGTAATGCTAATATTTGTAATAAACATCAAATCTGAAATAACATCGTCGCTGATGAAGAGATATAAAGCAAATGATAAATATATACTCGAGGGCAAAAAAATAACAAATAACAACCACGATTTTGAATGTTTATAAAAACCACTAAGATATGAAATGCAAGTTAATGAATTACCAAATTTCGCCCGCGACTCCCTCTGCGTGGAATCTATACTATTATAATAAAGCGTAAATACACACTTCTTTGTTACCTAAGATGTCAGCAATTACAGCATATTTTTGAATAATTCTTTCTTTAATGAAAAGCCCTGCACTTACGTCACGCTTTAGGCTATATATTTTCACGCCATTAAACTTAGGGGGTAAATGTTTTGGATAAAAACCCTAATGTGGGGAAGAGACCATAAGTTGCTGCCAACATCAAGGAAGCAAGATTGCCAAGGTTTATAATGTCATGTCATTTTGACATTTGCAATTGATAATTTGACAAATGTAAACAATAAAATAAAATTTGCATAATTCCATGCGGATGAAGCCTCACGGGCACAGCTAGTTAAAAAAAAAAGCAAGACTATTCTCTACATCCATGTCAAATTTTATCAAAATCCGTTCAGCAGTTAAGGCTACAAACTCTAACAATCATCTATCCATCTAAACTTTCGCATTTATAATATTAGTATAAGTTGTGGTACTAGTTTTCTCTTTATAAAGAGATTTCTAACAAAGAAATTAATTAATTCTGTTAATAAACATCGAGCGTCATCTGTTTTGCTCTTTTTTGTTAGTAAATAATTAAAGTAGAATAAGTATTTGTCTAAACCATTACAACTATCCCAATGTACAAGATAAAAGTGTGCATTTCTGATGGGATAGTACAGTAATCTGTATAAATAGATAGGCATTATTTGAGGTAAAGGTCTTTGCGTTGATACGATAACTACGCCTATTGATGTTAACGGTTACTTCTATTTCTCTTCTTAGTTTCTATACTCACAGCAAAGATGATGAAAATTACCACAAAATACAACTTAGAGCCTATCCTTTTATAAAGGTCAATGGATATACATTCAAAAAACAATAAAGATCTGTCCTAAAATAAAACACGTGTCTTTCAAGTGTGGGTTGACATTTTTACGTCTTTCACGTAACGATCTATTCTAAGGAGGGGATATGAGAAAAGTTTCTATTGTATTTTCGGTAGGGGAGTGTCAAACAAAACAGTTCAGAATAACGACTTTCAAACAAGTTCTCTATAGATTTATTCTCCCTTTATTGGTTTCCCGCTTTTTAATTTAAGAGGATGGGAAAGGTAGAGGTTATGTTAAGAGAGATGAAAAAGGAAATATCTTTTTTCTGTACGCACCATAAAGGGGGATTAAGTTTCGGTTCAAACATAAGCAGAATTTCACCGGGACATTCATGTAACAGATTCCGTTATAGCGCGTGCACACCTATGACTAAACTATCGAACAACTGTTTAGTCTCGCTTAGATTCCTTCTTATATAAGGTTGCGCACACTACTCGATTTATAGTAATGCAAATAAACAATTGAATTGTCTGCGAAACAATCGACAACCGCACAACAGTGGGCGATAGTTTAGTTTTTTTTTATAACATAAGGTGGCGAACGAGTAAGTGGCCACGTGAATCCGCCAAAATGGCGAAGCGACCGCTGCCCATAGACATCCTCAATTGCAGATGCGTTGCCTAC